AATCCATCTATTGCTTTCTTAGCATGTCATTTTACTTTTTACTTGTATAATTCCCATTTGGCTCTTTTTATTATTTTTATTTCTCTGATGAAATTCTCAACTTGCTTTTTATGTCATTGGTTACCTCAAGCTTTGTTATTTTGGAGACTGCATCTGAAAATTCCAACTGTGGGTCTTTTCCATTGTGTTTTTCTCTTTGATTTTTTTCATTGTAATGTCTCCTCATGTGTGTGTGTGTGTGTGTGTGTGTGTGTGTATACACATCAGACATTGATTTTTTAAAATGCTTATAGAGATAATATAAAGCCTAAAATGTTGATATGTTTCTCCAGGGAGGACTTTTTGTTTTTTTTGCTTCTGCCAGGTGTCTAGGGCATTATTCTTCTGGGATCCTCTCATTGCAGTTTCAGAGGTTGAGATGTTTTGAAGGTGCATGGTTTTCCTGTGAGGTACTATGTACTTCCAGGTCACTTCCATTCCTAGGATGCTGTCCTTCTGGGTCCCAAACCACAAGAAGGTAGATTACAAAGGAGAGGGGTTACTGGTTCCCTTTCTCTTAGTGAATCCTAGATTCTGCTCATTGTCCTCGTGGCCTTGCAGGCTTTCAAAATCTACTTAATCTCTCAGCTGCTCCTGCAGAAACTGGCAAATGCTTCATGGCAAGATTAACCTCAATTATTGACTTACCTCTTCGGTTCTCTTTCTTTCCCCAGAAACTGGTCCAATATTTCTTTTCTATCTTATTAGCTCTGGGATGCCTTCAAATAGATTAATTTCTCCCCCAGGTTTTCGAGTTGTCCTGAGTAGGATATCTTGTCAGAATTATCTGTTCTGCCATTAGTAGAAATGTGAGTTCTATATATTTAATATTAATTTCCCATAGATTCTCTTTATACTTGTAATGGGAGATGCTTCATGTTAGTCTTAGTCTGTCATGTTGTCTCAACATAAGAACAAAGTGCTGAATTTATAAAAGACACTTTAGTGGTTAAAAGCTTGTTCTCTGAAATCAGAGATTTGTGTTTAAATAGTAGGTTTTCATTTTCTTTTTATACTTATTTTTTAGATTACCTGGCAAAGAACTTGGTGATGATTTCCTACGCTGTTTAAAAATCTAATTAATTGTGAAGATGAAATTATAAAGTATTTAGCATAGGGCAGCCATGGCGGAATAATCTAGAAACACGTTGTTGAAAAAAGAAATCTTAGCTCCAGGGAAAAAATAACACTTTAAATAGAGAGATTTGGTGATTATCATCTCAAGCAGATGATCAGATTACCCTCTCACATTGTAAAGTGATCGGACATTATGTGCTTCTTATCGTAGTACAATAAGAAGTATATTACATCACCTATGTAGTCTAATTGCTGAATGTGTTTTACCTGAATCAGATCATAAAGGGAGAATAAGACAAATCAATTACAGAACATTCTATAAGATAACCAGTCTGAATTCTTAAAAAAAATCAAAAACAAAAAACAAGTCAATATCCTGAAAAAAAAAATCTAAGGGCAGGGAGATGCTTCTGGTTAAAAGAGATTAAAGGAACATAAAAAATGATACGCATATGTAAACCTTGTCTGGATCTTGAATTGGGGAAAAAAAATCTATAAAAGATATTTTTGGAACCATTGGGTAAATTTAAATAGGGATTGTAAATTAGATGATATTATTGAATTAATATAAAAAAATAGATGTGCTGGGCTTCCCTGGTGCCACAGTGGTTGAGAGTCCGCCTGCCGATGCAGGGGACATGGGTTCGTGCCCCGGTCTGGGAGGATCCCACATGCCGCGGAGCAGCTGGTCCCAGGAGCCATGGCCGCTGAGCCTGAGCGTCTGGAGCCTGTGCTCCGCAACAGGAGAGGCCACAGCAGTGAGAGGCCTGCGTACTGCAAAAAAAAAAAAAAAAAAAAATGTGCTAATGAAATTGTACTTAGGAGACTGTACTTATTCTTAGGAGATGCATGCTGAAGTATTTAGGAGTGAAGTATCATGTCTGCAACTTATTTTCAAATGTTTCAGCAAAAATAAATAATAAATGTGGAAACGTTAACAACTGGTATATCTAGGTGAAGATACACATGTAAGAGTTTTTTGATGTATCTGTGGGGAGGAAGGTGATCTCCGCGTCTTACTCTTCCACTATCTTGAAGCTCCTCCCATGTAAGAGTTTTTTTTGTCATGTATTATTACTTTTCTGGGGGTTTGAAATTTTTCAAAATAAAAAGTTGAAGGAACATTCTTGGCTCTTTCATTTGAGTTACTTGTTCTCAGATTAGTTTTTATTTGTTCAAAATAAAAATTTAATGAGCACCTACTATGTATTATTCTTACAGGTGCTGAGGAGTGGGGTTGAACTAGACAGATAAGATCATTCTCTAATTTTCAGTTCCTTCATGCATAAAATGGATATAGAGTTAGAGTACCCCCCACATAAGCACAATGCTTGGGGCAGAGTAGGCATTCAATAAATGTTGGCTATTGTAATTAATCAGCTGTGTCCATTGTTGACCTAATTTCATCCATTTGATGGTTTTGTTCTTTCAACTCTACTTTAAATAAAAATGTGTGATCTTCCGTCTTATATATTCTTCCCAAGCCGTTTCCTAGTGTTAATACTCATCTTATTTTTGTTAATATTATTAGGGCACTGGAAGTTTTGGAGAGAAGATATCATGTAAAGTCAAAGCAAAGATGAAATTAAACTGGTTAGGGGTATATTTTTCAAATTAGGCTTCTATACATGACTATTCTAAGGTCTAAAGTTTATATTCCCATAGATTTTATTAATAATTATCCTGGTTTAAGATTGGGTTATAAACTAGAAGCAACTAAGGAAAGGTTTCTAAAAACAAACAAACGAACAAACAAACTAGGTCTTGAGCTGATCAAACATACAACATTGGAAATTCTTTAATCCTCTATCCCCAATAACCTTAAATCTTTTTACAAACTGTGCATATGTAACATGTTATTTATCTCTGAGTGAAAGCACTCCTTCCTTTCATTCTACTCCACACACACATGTCCTCAGATGCCAATGGCTTGGTCTGATAAATGTACAATTCATCCTAAGCCCATTCTGTAAATCTGTCATTAAGTTCCAAAACTTTCCTTTCAGTGTAGACTGTGATCATAGTTTATAACTTATTATACATAGAATTATTTTAGTGGTATAATACTAAAACAAAAACCAAACTAAAGAGTATTCATATAACAAAATAATACTTAAGACTGATTGGGGTGACCCAATAATTAAAAATAAGTGAAACTTTTGGGTGAAGTTTATTTGCAAGTGTTTATTCAAAGAATTTAAAAAAATATTTCAACTTTTCCTATTTTTCTCTTACAGCTCTTGAGAAAACAAGAATAATTCTTCATATATTAGCATTAATATTAAGCATCCCATATATCTTATAGGTTGTACATTGCATTTCAATACAATCTTATCCACTAACAATATGTTAAATTATTTTTATTTTACATTCTGGGTAGGATTAAAATAAATAATATAGAAATAATTTAACAAATCTTTATGGAACTATGTTCTAGGTTTGGGAACACAAAAATAAATAAATGGACCCTGCTATTAAGAAGCTCACAGCCTTGGGCTTCCCTGGTGGCACAGTGGTTGAGAGTCCGCCTGCCGATGCAGGGGACACGGGTTCGTGCCCCGGTCTGGGAAGATCCCACATGCCACGGAGCGGCTGGGCCCGTGAGCCATGGCTGCTGAGCCTGTGCGTCCGGAGCCTGTGCTCCACAACGGGAGAGGCCACAACAGTGAGAGGCCCGCGTACCGCAAAAAAAAAAAAAAAAAAAGAAGCTCACAGCCTAAAAGGGGAGATAGACAGATAAAACAGACAATTTAATGTAGTATGCAGCTTTGAGAACGGTATGTGCAAAGAACTAGGGGAACCTTAAGAGGGTCACTTAATCCAGAATGGTAGAAGTTTGAGATGGTTTCCAGGTCGGGATGACATATTTTACAAAAGAATTTGCCAAGAAAAGAAGTAATGGTGGGTGAGAAGAAGAACATTCCTATAGCAGGGATGACTGAATAGTCCTAGGGACTGGACTGCCTGATCTTCAAGGTCCCTTCCAACCCCAAGAAGACAGTAGGAGACAATCAGTCATCATCTACTTGATCCAACAAAGGGAATTTGTATAGAGTGGGGCACCTTCCTGATATTTGCCGATTCGTGGAATACCGATTTCCTGGACTCATTTTTTCATGCTATAGAGCACCATTTAAGAAGAAAATCCCATGCTAACTAAAGGTTTTGTAGACACTTTACCTATGGTGCTGATCACAGATTCAGAATGAAAAATCTGGAATAGTGAATATTATATCATCTACTTTTAAGAAAAAGAGAATAAAAGTTAAAGACTCCTATAAAGCTCTAAACTTCAACAAAGTATACAGGTTTCTCGAAAATAATATTTTTCTTTCTCTTCAGTGTGGAGAAAACAGAAAGGAGCCGGTCCTTTGTCTTGGTTATCTACAAGGAGTACACTAGATGGTGCTATAAGGCTGTCAAAAAGAAGGTAAGTTTCACCAGGAAAAAATAGTGTGGAGGTTCTGATGGCCGTTTTGTGTGCTGAAAACTTTCCATATATTTTCAGTCCCTGAGAGCAATTCTAGGTTTGTAGGCAAGTAACGGGAATCTTAATCTCACAAGTTTTAGCCCTCTGGTCAGATTCATTTTAAATTAAACCACAAGTTTAACACAAAATGGTTTCAGTGTTAGACGATTCAATCTGATTCCACTGAAATGGAAATTTTAAAGTTATTGAAATACAAATTTATTATACATTTAAACATATTGCTATTAATTTCATTTAGGGAGTCTCCCCATGAGTCTAGTTATGTCTACTAATTAATAAATCTCTAGGGCTTCCCTGGTGGCACAGTGGTTGAGAGTCCACCTGCCCTTGCAGAGGACACGGGTTCGCGCCCCGGTCCAGGAAGATCCCACATGCCGCGGAGTGGCTGGGCCCGTGAGCCATGGCCGCTGAGCCTGTGCGTCCGGAGCCTGTGCTCCGCAACGGGAGAGGCCACAACAGTGAGAGGCCCGCGTACCGCAAAAAAAAAAAAAAAAAATCTCTAAGTCAGTTTCTTCAAATGGTTTCCTGAATTTTCAAATTATCATTAAGCAGAAAATACCAATCAAACTCTCTTATCATTAAAGTACTGCAACAGAGTAACACAAATACATGAAACAATACATTTTGAAATCACTCTATCAGTATAGTTTTTTTACATAAATAGCATTTCATGATTTTTCCACATTACAATAAAACCAGAAACGTATTTTTAACTAAAGTGAAAAATAAAATCAAAGCTATATTTTTATAATATGTTCTACTTAGTTTTCTTTTAAATGTTAAATAGTAAAAAGGCAAACAAAAAAATGGACGGCTAAAGATATACCTTTTATAAACTAAGAGTCACTTTAGTTTTAAACTCTCAAAGTTAGGAGATCTGTGTGTGATTCTTCTGCTTATCTTTCCAGTTCTGCTTCTAGAATTTCCCCCCATGTGTCTGCATCCATTGGGTACATGATTTTTTCTGGTAGGCTGATAGGAGAACATATGTTGCTATATCTGCCACTTAGCCATTCATGTTTCACTTTACTCTTCTGGTAATTCCTCAGTAGTATTACCTGAAAGAGGTAAACCACCATTGTTAAAGAAGGTAGTCAGTGGTTGGTGAGTGAGTTTGTTTGAAACTAGAGAAGCTGATTGAGAGGGCTGAAAAGATTATTTACATCGATATACACATATACTAATAAGTGTGTGTGTGTGTACAGAACAGAGTGACTCACAGAGTCTCCCGGGGGTTTTGGATAAGGTAAAGTGAAATGAAGTAGCTATTGTGGTTAACAGAGGTAAATGCCCCCAAAATGTAAAAAGATGGATGGGAGATAGCGTGGTTTGCAGGAAAAGAATGATAAAATTCAACTTTAACTCCCAAAGCCAACAAACTCTGTATGTCATTCTGGATATGAAATCCTCCCTCTTCCAAGCAGAAGGTAGGCTTGGGCTCAAACTGACCACCATATTGTCAAGAACACTGCAGACTCCATAGGTTAAACTTACCCTCCAGGGATAACCACTCTCTAGATCATCATCTATCTCTCTTTGGCATACAGCTCTCACAGTCAGGCAATGAGGTTTCCACAAGGCATCGCTGTGTCTTATTGTGTGATTCCAGCTCCTGCACGTCACTGAAGCCCTGCACAAACTCCAGATGTCCAGCTGACTGAAAATTTTAAAAGTAACTTCTGGAGGCAGCAGTTCAACAAAGTTATTCTGACGCTCTTTCTTTTCCTTCTCAGCATCCGCAGAGTTCAATTCTAGGTCAGAAACCCTTGAACTGTGGTTCCTCTTGGAGTTTTTCTTCATAGCTTGATGTTTTAGTGAATTATCCTCATAAGTAAGCTAAAAGGCAAAAGTTAAAAAGACTCACTCCCTTTAGATCAGACTATAGATCCTACTCTGAGCCAGATACTTTCTGGGGGTGATTTAATGAACTTTAACTTTCTTGACTTGAGCTTCTCAGTCTGTAAAATGGGGCCAATGATGCTTCTCTGGGGTGTGTTCTTGCAAGCATAAACAGGGATAATGTGTAAAACATCTAGCCCCACATCTGAATTGCATGTGGGAGGCACCCAACACATGTTACTTCCTTTCTTCTTTTTAGACATTTTTGGTAAATGGGTTTGTTTCTAAATATTTGGGTTTTTTTTACTCCCAACGAACATTATCTTAAAAAAGAGAAGTGATTCTTCACAGTCAGACTATAATTTATTTTTAGCAGTAGAAACGAATATTGTGAGAACACATTCGATTCCAAGTACTGATTGAAAATACTTTTGAAAAGTATTCGATTCTATTTAACTCATTAATATTTGTCTGTGGGAACCAATGCCTTGTCATTAAATTCTTCATCTACAGTTTGTGACTTAATCATAAACTTGATCAACTTTTAGTAGTTTATATAAGAATTGTTTATCTACTTACATCTAATGGGTAGGTGCTCACATTTGACACAAATACTAACTGGAATAGACAAGAAGTTGAGGTCTGGGTTATACTGACAAAATTTCAAATATTCAATAAGAGTAGTGTTTTAGAAATGGCTTTTATTTATTTATTCTTGGCTGTGTTGGGTCTTTGTTTCTGTGCGAGGGCTTTCTCTAGTTGCAGCGAGCGGGGGCCACTCTTCATCGCGGTGCATGGGCCTCTCACTGTCATGGCCTCTCTTGTTGCGGAGCACAGGCTCCAGACGCGCAGGCTCAGTAGTCGTGACTCACAGGCCCAGTTGCTCCGCGGCATGTGGGATCTTCCCAGGCCAGGGCTCGAACCCATGTCCCCTGCATTGGCAGGCAGATTCGCAACCACTGCGCCACCAGGGAAGCCCCTAGAAATGGCTTTTTGAAGCTACACTACATGCATAGTCAATTATGAATTAAGGTAACAGTCACTGAGGCCATCAAGCAACAGTGACTAACAACTATAAACAATGTTTATAACTCATCGAGGTATAGCACGTGACTAAAAATTTAAAGTCCAGTTTCAGCTGATTTACCTAAGGTGCATGGTGCAGGCTTCTGAAATCAGTTGGAAGCATGGAGCTATTTTGGCATATAAAGACAGTTCATATTTACTTAAAATCAGTTTATTCCATTTTGCACTTCCTTTTATAATGAGGGGTGGCATCACAGGAGAGGTTTCAGATACAGCTAAATACTTCTTCTAGCTCAGCTAATGACAAATTCCCCTTTCCAGATGTGCTACTCACCTATATGTTTCTGTACTTGCCAAGACCACATACGCTCCCATTCATTTGGTGGTTTATGATCCACATTAGCTCTGGCGGTTAGGATTTTAATGTCTGAGTTCAGCAGAGGACTTCCTCTTGAGAGTCTGGGTAAGTAAGAAAGCAAACTGGTAAAAACAAGTTCATGAGTCAAGTTTTTGTCACCCCACCCTCCTGCCCCATTAATACAAACCAAAGCCAAACTACTCTATCTCATATTAGGAAAAAGTTACTGTGCATTTAAATGCACATTTGTTACTTCTCCCAAGATCTCACTGGGGATAAAATGCGTCCTGCCTTTACAGTTATACCACAGGAGGCAGATGAAAGCTTTTGAATTTAACAGATGGGGGTGCCTTGGTGAGGTTCCTAAAATCCCACTAGGCATTTTTCTTCTTTTAAGTCCAGTTTTGCCTGGATGCCTAGAAACCTATCCTCTTCTGCCCCTTCTTCTTTCTGAACCAAACTTTGCTGAATTACCTCTCTAGTTAGGTGACAGATCGCCCCTCTTTCGGGTGTCACACGGAGGGAGGGATCGGAAGGCAGCGCAGACGCCCGGCTCTCGGGGAGCCCTCACCCCCTGCGGACCCCGCAAGTCGGAAGGAATGACCCCACGTCCTTTCTGAGCCACCCTCCTGGCGTGTCCCGCCCAGACTGCATTTGCCGGAGTCCAAACCATACGGGGCACTGACAAGTAAACAATAACAACCGTCAGCACCAAATGTCACCGCAGCTCCGGCCGGCTAAGCGGACGCTTGTGCTAGCGCCAGGGCCGCGCCCCCAAGCACGCCCGCCCAAAGTCAGCCGGAAGCGAAGACCCTCCTACCTACTGGGCCTTGGCGACCTCTCTTTCAACGATTTCAACCTTCCGGACTTCGAATCCTGCCCCTTCAGGTCCCTCACGTCCAGCCCACTCTAGCCCCGCCTTGCTGACTAGTATTTCGCACAGGCGCAGAGAGGAGCGCGCATTGCCTCTTGGGATTGGTAGTTTTCCCAGGGCGTCTCAGCTCGGCAAGCGAGGAGAAGTGGAGGCGCCACGGACTACAAGGACCGGTGTCCTCCGAGACAGGTGGGCGGTGAGAAGGGCTGGGGGGGTTTAACCGGGGCTTTTAAACAATAGTTTGGAGGCGGCGTGAAGGGGGAAATCCCTGAGCTACTCACTGGTCTGAGTGGAGGGGCGGGACTCCGTACCCGCGCTGGGGCCCCAGCTCCGCGCGGCCTGGTCACACTCAGGGGCAGTCTTTGCTCCACCTCCCCCTGTGTTTTCCGGGGGCCTGCGTAGGCCCGGCGCCCGTCCATGGAAGGCGGAAACGGCTGCGGGGTCCGGCTCCTCGCGAAGGAGTCTAATCCTCGCGGCCATGTCCCGGGTCTTCGAGCTGCAGCCGCAGGACGGCGGCCCCCGGGTGGCCCTGGCGCCGGGGGAGACGGTGGTCGGCCGCGGGCCGCTGCTGGGAGTAAGTGTGGCGGAGGCTTGGCGGCCCCGGAGAGCCGCGAGATCCTGGCCGGCTCTTGAGGCCCTGCTCGGGGTCCTGCGCCTATTCCCCACCGCGCCGGCCAGGCCTGTCTGGATTTTTAGAAGTTTGGGGGCAGCACGTTTTTCAGTCAACTTGACTTGGGTTATCATCATTATAATCTTACCCGGGGGTCGGCAAACTGTGGCTCTGGCTCCAAATCCAGCCTGCTTTTGTTTGGACCCACATACTAAGAATGATTCTCAAATTTTAAAATGTAAAACGTAAACAAAAAAATCCATGTTAAGCGTTTCAGGGAGAATAATTGCTCTAAGGGTTGGGGCTATTGCCTCTTGGCTTGGTAAGCCACAGTGTTTACAGTAGTTTCTGGCCCTTTACAGAAAAAGCTTGCCAACCTCTGATCTTAGCTTTTCTAGAATAATTTCTTTTAAGCTTTGGCTCCTTTGGTGGTACTGTGTCGGCTTTACTTTTATTGTAGTAGCCTTTTTCAGCAACAGTGGCTCACCCTTCTGTAGTGTGTAGTATTCCAGGCATTGATCTAAGGACTTTACCTATACCAACTTCTTAATCCTTTCCAAACCCTATGAATTAGGTGCTTTTATTATCTTCATTGTTCAGATGAGAAAATTGAGCTATGGATTGGTTATTTAAAGGGCACACACAGCTTTTGGACGCAGAGTGCCATTGGGCTACGTAGTCTTCCTCTGGGATGTTTAGGAGTTAGAAAACTTGCCTGTACCATTCTGGAATTTTGTAGATCTCTCCCTAAATACATATATATTGTTTTCTCAACATTCAGCATGTCTTGTTTAGTGCCTGCTTTGCGCAGCATGTCGTGCAGACCCTAGCACTGCGGGGCACACAGGGATGAATGGGTCCTTGCCCTCCAGTTTTCTCTTGGACTGTCCCGACACACCTGTGTCAGTGAGCCAATACCAGGGAGTAAGGAGTGTTGTCTGTTACCCTGGTTAACCTCCAGTGTCTAAATAGAACCACAGGTATTAGCCTTAGGACTCCTCTCCAAGCAGGAAAAGGAGTGGTGGTTCAAGGTGGTGATGGGGAAGTCAGTTCTAAAGGGGTGTGAGTGTATGTGTGCGTACATATATGTGTATGTGGTAAGATTTTTGAGAAAGTTCCAAGTTCACTTGCTGGTTTGTTTGTAGGGTTTTTTTGTTTTGTTTTGTTTTTACTTAAATGTTTGTTATTTTTCTTCAAAGTTTATTAACCTATACAAACGTTTGGTGGAACTGTCTGGAGGTTTCCTCCCCCCCTTCCTCCCTTCTTTCCGTCCTTCCTTTCTTCCTTCCTTCCCCTTTTCGTCCCTCCTCCCCTCCCTCCCCCTATTTTTCTCTCTCTCTCACTTTATCTCAGTTAGAAACAGAGTATGTGCTTCATCTAGAAATGTTATGTCTGATTACTAATGAGTTTTAATTTCCTTAACATACTGTATCACTAACACCGAGTGCTGAGGATCCGGTTAAATGATGGATGAATTTTAGGCCTCTGTTTTGTAAACTTGACATCGGGTCACAGACCGATTCATTATTGGTAGCTTGATCTTTGTGTTATAGGCTTGCTAATGCGAGAGGAGCCTATTTGGTTTCTCTCTCTTTTTTTTTTTTTTTTGCTGTACGCGGGGCCTTTTCACTGTTGCGGCCTCTCCCGTTGCGGAGCACAGGCTCCGGACGCGCAGGCCCAGCGGCCATGGCTCACGGGCCCAGCCGCGGACCAGGGCACGAACCCGTGTCCCCTGTGTCGGCAGGCGGACTCTCAACCACTGCGCCACCAGGGAAGCCCGGTTTCTCTTTTTAAAAATGGTAAGGAATAGAAAGTCAATTATCTGGTCAGGATTTAGCTTTTCCTTTTTGAATAGTCATTCAGTGATGAGATTTAAGTTGCCAAGGCAGGTTATTAGAAGTGGTTACGAACGATACTAGATGTGTGGAAGGAAAACCTTGAAAAACAAATTACCTTGTGGTTCTCAAGATTTTGGAGCTGACAGACAGGTGTTTCTTCTCTGCAGTGGTTTAAACTCCACCTGAGGGCTGCTGTTTCAAACAACAGCAATTCCAGTGAGTTGGTTCGTTTGTTTTGTTTGTAGTGTGTGAGAGAGCAGACTTAGTAAACTCAGGGAGTTTATTGTAAATTCATATCTATCTGAAGTGATTAGTAATAATCAGGGTGATTTTTGAACTCTCTTAACTAGCCATGTGTTTTGGAGACAAGTTTCACGAACCTTCATGGCCACAACCTTTAGGTTTATAATTCCAATGTGTAAAGCATTCTTTGTGGTAAAACAACTTGACCGTGGGAATGCCTTCGTATCTTTACAGTGGCAGGAAAACCCTTATAGAGAACACTTGTAGACAACAGAGCACAGTGAAATTTCATTTTCTTGTTCCCTTTGCTTTAGCGTAAGTCATCAGGGAACCCAAGGTCTTTATTTAACTAAGTTGTAATTCTGTTTCCTGATCACCATTTAAAAGGTTTTACAGCAGGATGAATCTCCAGGGAGTTTTCCTAGGTGAAAACAAACAATTCCAAAGGTCACATATTGTATGATTTAATTTACATACTGTTATTGAAATGACAAAATTATAAAGATGGGGACCAACTTAGTGGTTCACAGGGCTTAACAAAGAGGTGAGGGGAGCAGGAGGGAATTGGGTATGCCTGTAAAACAACAATGAGGGATTTGTTTTGTGTCTTGACTGTGTCAATATCAATATCTGGTTGTGATACTGTACTGTAGTTTTGCAAGATGTTACTGCTGGGGGAAACAGTAAACAGTACAAGAGATCTTTCTGTAATGTATCTTTTAACCATGAATCTACAACTATCTTAAGTAAAAAAATTAGTTAAAAGAAGATTTTACAGCATCTCAAACAACAGAATACCATTAGGCCCAATTATTTGCTTTATGGTTTTTCTTGAATTAAATCCGATTTTGCTCTTAAATGAAAACTGCTCTTTCTGATTTCAAAGTTTCCTTATTCTGTTTTGATAGCAGGGATTATAGGACCCATTCCTTTATGATCTATTTTCCTCCAAGGAAATAGGACAGCACCTGGTATCTAGTGCGATTTCCTAAAGGCAGATGTGATTGAAGCTACTGCTCTAATTAAAAAGAGAAAGGGCCCCCAGGTGGGGATGGAGTTAGTCCTGGGCTCTAGTGCAGACTCTTCACCAGGCATCAGTTCACCACTTCTAAGACTCTTGTAAGTGTCCCACAAAGTTTATACAAAGTAAGCACTCCCAGGCCTGGCAACTCTGCACTGTTCCTACTTGTTGCCAGACTTCACCTGCTGCGGCTGTCTGGTCTGACAAGATTTGTCCCTAGGGACGTGCCAAGCACTCCTAGCTTTGCCCTGCCCTCAGTTATTAAGCCTAGTACAATTCCTGACGTACGGTAGGCCTTCAACACATGATGTCTTCCTTTTCTGCATCTCAGCCTCACTCTTCCAACCCTCATAAAGAGCCTACTTGCAACTTAGGTGTAAAAAGGAGAGCGCAGAGTTTTAAAGTGAATATAAATATAGTAACGAGGCAGTGCTACCAACTGCTAAAGCTTAAGGAGCAACATTCATGGTGGATTGTGTTAGCATTTTTTCTATTTTATTGACTAATTAGTAAATTCAGAAAATAGCTAATGAATATATACTATAGTTAGATGGGAGGAATGAAGGAGAAATAAGTCCTTGCTCTCAGGAAACTTATAGTTAGTAGGTATGAGAGACATAGAAGCAAGTAACTAGAAAGGGGAGCTAGGCAGGCACCTCCAGTGAGTGAAGTGGGAGAGAGTAAGAAACAGTAACACAGGGACACGCTGATAGATGACAGCGGTGTCGTAAATGACAACTGCTTCAGTGTTGAGGCCACAAGGAGAGGACTGTGTAATGCAGTTTCTGCTACTCACCCCCATTCCTACCTAGTAAGTGTCATATCATTTTTCTCAAAAGTAGTAAGAAATCTAGATTTTTAGATATAACCTCTGATTTTTAAAAGGTCACATTAAAAGTTTTGTTTCAATACCTTGAGCCAAACAGAAGGATGTAACGTGATACAGAGAGGTGTAGGAATGAACCCACAATTAAGATGAGGGCTCAGAGAAGGCTTCGTGAACTCACTGACATATTGAGCTGACTTTAAATGTGAGAACAGTTAGAATTTTGATAGGTTGACAGTAGATAGGAAGGGAAGGGCCCTTAAGGCTAAATGAATGATTTAAGGCTCTAAGGTTGGAAAGGGTAAGGCACGTTGGATAATTGGATAAGCGTTGAGTAGACTTGTGGGATGATCACATTACATCAGTGATTCTGTTTAACTTTTACAGACATTGCTTTTACAACATGTACTAGTTTTCTTTCTTTTTTAAAAATAGGCTTCTTATTTTTCTTAAAAATAAAACCTCCCCTATCAACATCCCCGACCACAGTGGTATATTTGATGAACCTGTATTGGCATGTCATTATCACCCAAAGCCCACAGTTTACACTAGGGTTCACTCTTGGTGTACATTCTATAGGTTTTGACAACTGTGTAATGACATGTATCCACCATTGTAGTGTTACAGAGTACTGCCCTAAAAAATCTCACTGTTCTGTCTGTTCATCTTCCCTCTCCCCTGCAAGCCCTAGCAACTACTGAACTTTTTAACCACATCTGCATAGTTTTACCTTTTCCAGAGTATCGTATAGTTGGAATCATACAGTATGTATATGTAGACTTTTTTTCAGATTGGCTTCTTTTCATTCATAGTATGTATTTAAGGTTCTTCCATGTCTTTTCCTGTTTTTTTTAGTGATGAGTAATATTCCACAGTCTGGATGTTCCACAGTTTATCCATGTGTCTACTGAAGGATATCTAGGTTACTTGCACATTTTGGCAATTATGAATAAAGCTGTTATAAACATCCATGTGCAGGATTTTGTTTGAACATAAGTTTTCAGTTCTTTTGGGTAAATAATAAGGAGTACAATTG